GGGAGGGATAAGGTCGGGGAAAAAGAAAGGGGTCCTTACGATTAGCATGTATAATGTGGGGGGGGCGCACAGGGAGGGATGTGCAACACAGAGAAAACAAGTAGTGATTCTACAGCATCTTACTACACTGATGGACAGTGACTGTAATGGGGTTTGTGGGGGGGACTTGGTGAAGGGGGCAGTCTAGTAAACAATGTTCTTCATGTAATTGTAGATTAATGATAACAAAATGAATATAAAAATATCCCCTCTAGATTTCTAGTGCTCGAACTCTCCCTCCTCTCAGAGCCAAGTTCCTTAAAAAACCAAGAAGGCATCACTTTGCCTTCTTGTTTCTCAGGTCTCCATTCATGTATTAACCTTTTGAAATCATATTTCTGCTCCCCTTGTGCCACTGGCACTGTTCTAAGGGCACCAATGGCAACAATCTGGCTACATGCCAAATACAAATGACTTTTTCAATTATCACCTTACCTGACTTCTCCGCAACAGCTGCCTCTGTTGCCCATTATCCCCTTCCAGCACTCTCAAACCTTGGCATAATCCTCTTGTTCTCTTCTCAGACTCAGTGTCCCTGAATGTTACTCATTACAGCTGTCCTTGATCTCATTCCCTCTGTGGCTTCAACCACCAGCTAAACCTCTTGTTTAGTTTAGAACTGTCTTCAAAACTTAAGACCCACCTACCTCCTACCTACCAGACACCCTGGTCCAAATTTCCTCTGGTCTTCTATATGTAATGTGTCCATAACTGACTTAGTATTTTTCCCCTGTGACCCGACTCCTTCCTCATCCCCACTAATGAACCAATCACTAAATCCTCCATTCTATGTCCTGTTTAGTTCTCACATTCATCACCTCAACACTAGCTCTTCATTAGTGATTGTCAAGGCCCTGAATATCTCCCCCAATGACCATCACAAAGATACACTGAATCTCTGTACTTCTGTCCTCCTCCTCTCTGATTCCTCCTCTATACTCTGCACAAGCTATTTTTCTGAAGCAAATTGGTTCATGTTACTCATCTATTTAAAGTACCTTTACTGACTCCTCATACCCTGCTGGGGAGCAATTTAGCATGATGGTTAGGAACACAGGCACTGCGGTCTGAAAAAGCCAGATGCAAATACTAGATTTTTCATCTACTGTGTGGCCATGAAACACTATTCAGCCTCTCTAAACCTCAAAGTTTTCATTTAAAATAGGGATAATTGTGTCTTCCCAACAATGTCCTTAGGAGATTATAAAATGATGTATGTAAAAATTTGTCCCAACAGTTATTAAATACTTAATAACTGTTATAAAATGAAGTCTTAACTACTTATCATGCCCTTTTTTAGAGTATCGTCGATATACAATCTTATGTTGGTTTCAAATATACTAAACAGTAGTTTAGTATACTAAACAGTGATTAAATCCTCATCCCTTCTAGTGCAATTACTATCTATCAGTATAGTAAGACATTACAGAATCACTGACTATATTCTCCATGCTGTACTACCGTCCCTGTAACCAACTTATTTTGTGAGTGCAAATTATTGTCCCTTTATCCCCTTCACCACCCCTTCATCCCCTACCCAGCACTGCCCCAAACCCTCCCCCTTGGTAACCACCAGTCCCTTATCAGTGTCAGTGGGTCTACTGCTATTTTGTGGTCCTTCTGTTTCAGTACGGCTCTTTATGATTTGCTCACTGCCTACCTCTTCAGTCTCACTTTCCATTCTTTCCTCACATTCTTCACTGCCATACTGCTTCACATATTTTTGCTTTTGTACACATAGTTTCCTCTGCCTACAAAAGCCTAACTCCCAGTGCTTTGTCCATTGAGTAAACTTTTATTGCAACCTTGATTTTTGCCCATGGAACCTGAAACACAATTCTCATTTTGTATTACATCTACCTTCTTGTCTCCCTTTCCATGAAATTGTTATTTGAAAGCAGAGGTAAATGAAGGAAATAACACAAGAAATTAAGAACAGACATGGGAATTCACCTCAGAGATATGGAATGTGATGTCTGTTGAACAAATTTACAGAAAGGACCTGAAGTGATCATTCTGTTCCCAAACTAATGGCTTACTCACTTTATTTTCTATTCTTCCTATTTTAAAAAATACACTAGCCTAATAGCACCAAGAAGACAAATATTGACTCATCGCATCTTACTACACTGATGGACAGTGACTGCAAAGGGGTGTGTGTGGGGGACTTGATAATATGGGTGAATGTTGTAACCACGTGAAACCTTAAGATTGTATATCAATGATACCTTAATTTAAAAAAATACACTAGCCTAATGAGGGTTTAGATGAGAAGATTAGGATCATACTTGGACATTCTCTAATGGTGTTGCAGGACAGCTGTGCAGGAGCAAGGATTCAAACTGGGTCTTGAAAATTGTTTTGGTCCGAAGCAGAAAGGGCTTAACGGGGCAAACTGGGTCTCTCTTTGGTATGTAAATTGGCCTACATGAACTTCAGTCAGAACTTCAATGTAGTAAAGTTCAATTTAAGTTAAAGCATGTTGTTCCTTAGAGGGAAACTGGGATACCTCAAATTTGTTAAGGGAGAGATGGCCATAGAAGATTCCACCATGGCAACAACCAAACGAGCAACCAGAAAAATTCAGAAGAGTAAGTTTTGAGAGTAGTCTCTATTATAAGATGATGACTAAATACTTTACAAATTAAATATATTCGCAAATACCAAGCCTTTGTGGGCTTAGACCAGAAAAGTGTGGCCTGCTGGGTTAATGGTCTTAAAATAGTACTGAACAGGAGACAGGCAAATTCCTTGTACTGAAAGGCTATTACAAACCGTTCATTTACTCGGGTCAATAACAAGTCACATTCCTTTCTGAAATCCGAGATGCCATGTTTATTACATAACAAGTCCAACACTTGTAATTTTTTCCCCCCTTCTTTAATTAGACAAAGATGTTTCTAGGGGGACGGGGAACCTATTTTAAATATACATAAAATTAGAAATCTATCAAAAGGGCAGTGAAATCTTGACTTCGCTAGCACTCTCGTTTTGGACACTGTGGTGACGCCTGAGAAACAAGTTCAACTTCCAGAGTCAACCTCACTTTGCTCTCCCCGGCAGAGCCAAGAAAGAGAGGTGTCTTAAGAGAGGGGAGCCCGGGGGAGTCCCGGGGGATGCTGTCAATCTTCAAAACGCCAGAGACTCAGAAAAGGGGTTAGCGCAACGGCGCGGGGTGGCAGTGGGGGCGACGGAGGGGCCGAGCGAGGACGTCTTATGCGTGGCGGTGAGGTTTTCAAGGTGCCGCCTCCCCCCTCCCGGCCTCGGGCCCCAGTCACTCACTTGCGGGGCCCGCGTCCCCTCAGGCTCCTCCCGCCTCGGGGACAGCAGCCGCCGGGCGAGGAGGATAAACCTCCAACTTCCTGCTTCCGGTGCGCAACCCGGAAGCAACTCCCGCGCCAAAGGCTAGGCGGCGCGGCCTCCAAGAGCTCCTTCTTCCCACCCCGCACTTCCGACAAAACAAAACTCGCGATGTCGCGGCGCGCGGGAGAACTCTCTCGCGAGATCTGAGAACAGGGGTTCTTGCTCCCCCTGGCGTGCAGTTTTTCCTTCTTAGTCTTCTTAAGTCTTTGCCCGGTCTCTCCTCTGCTTAGGCTGGCACAAACATCATAGTTGAACTGACTCAACAAGCAAGCATTTACTGAGCCCCCAACTAGGTGCCAAGAAGCGTGTTAGGCATTAAGGGGTAGGAGTGGGAGGCATACGTAAATGAAGGGCAGGCCTTTACCCCAGTCTAAAACAGAAAGACAAGTAAACAAATCACTCGAATTTACACACGGCCCACTCATTAATAATAAGTGTTGAGAGCTTACTCTGTGCCAGACATTTATAAGTACTTGATATTCGTGAACTGCTTCCACAACACTATGATATAAATAGCCCCACAACATTAAACCTCATACTAACCAAGTTGAGGTTTGTGGAAAAGTTAACTTGCTCGAGATTACACAGATGGAGAGGTGAGGTCATGATTTGAACCCAGGGTCCTTATCTTGCCCTGCCTTTAGTGCCAGAGATCTTAATTGCTTTCTACAGGCGATCTGAAACAAAACGCTACTGGGTTCAGACTAATAAAGCTGCAGCTACAAAGGCATTGTGATGTTGACGCACAGGCAGGGAAACCAACTAAACAGAACAGAGAGACCGAAACCAGAACCAGACATATATAGACACTTGCTTTATGACGTAGAGGAGTGGACAATGCTTTCAATGAATGGTGCTGGGTCGGTTGTATATCCAAATAGGAAAAAATGAAACTTGACCCCTACTTTACACCATATGCCAAAATAAATTCTATGTGCACTGCAGATCTACATGAGGAAAACAAAACAATAAAATTTTAGAGCTGCTCTGTCCAATACTGTCATCATGCAAGTGACTGTTGAGTACTTGAAATGTGGCTAGTCAGAATCAAGATGTTCTGTAAGAAATAAAATTGATACATTTGATTACATTAAAATTAGAAACCTCTAATCATCAAAAGACATGATTAAGAAAGTGAAAAAAATAAGCTGTATAGTAAGAAAAAATAGCAAGAGCTTATGTCCAGGAATTCTATAAAGAATTCCACAAATAAGAACAAGACAGCCAGAGAGAAAAATAGGTAAAAAAATTTGAACACACAAAAAAATGATAGCACAAAACAGGATATCTAAATGGCAAATGTGCATATGAAAAAGTGTTCAACTTCATTAATCATTAGTTGTTAGGGAAATGACTATTGAGATATTATACAGACTCCAGAATTGCTTTAATGAAAAAGACTGGTTGGTGTTGGTGAGGTAGTGGCACAACAGCAACTTGTATACTGCTGGTAGGAATGTAAACTGCTGCAGGCAGCCACTTTGGAAAACAGTCTGGTGTTAACTACTATATTATAATACACATAGAACCTATGACCCAGCAATTCTACCTCTAGATGTACATCCAAAATTCATGCACAAGTGTACCAACAGACATACAAGAATATTCACAGCAGCATTATTTGTAGTAGCCACAATCTGGAAATGTATCAACTGCTCATTAACAACAGAATGTATAAATACATTGTAGTATATTCATACAATGGAATACTACACAGCATTGAAAAGTGAAAGTGACCACTACATATAACAACATGGATATATCTCACATATATAACATTTAGCAAAAGAAGCCAGACACACAAAAAAATGCTTTATGACTCTGCTTACATAAATTTCAAAAACAGATAAAACCAGTCTATAAATTTAGATGTCAAAGTGATTACCTTTGGAGAGGTGGGAAGGGGTATTGATTTGTAGGAAAGGCTTCTGTGGAGTTGAAAATGTTTTTTTCTTTCTTGATATAATGGTGGTTTCACAGGTGGGTTTATTTTGTAATAATTAACTCACTTAGGATCTGTCCACTTTTCTGGATATATATTATATTTCAATTAAAATTTTTTACCTCAAAAAAAGTGTTTTGGGGGATCCAGAGGTCCTAGAAAGCCTATGTCTTCCTGGTCCTTTCTACCAGTTTCCAAACTACAGCCTGAGTGACACTTCTAATGTACAAAATCTGATTCCACAATTTCAAGGTCCCTTTTGCCCTCAGAATCAAGTTCTAAGATCTTTCACAATTCCCTTACACTCACCTCCAGGGCAGACCAAGAAACAATCTCTGATTTTCCAAGCCCTTTATAATGCTTCAGCTCTCCAAAGAGGAGAAACCTCTCTGACTTCTGGCTAATTCCAACAGCCCTCAGCTCAAGTTATCATTCCCAGGGAATCCTCTGACTACTCAAAGCCAGCTCTGGAATAACCAGAGCTCAGAAAGCACTGCATGTTTCTGATTACAGCCTTCATTCCACTCCCCTGTAGCTGTGTGTTTAACTGTCTTTCTTAGAATGTGAGTTCCTTTGGGTCTGGGCATAGATTATGTGACCCATTTCTATCTTCCTCAGTTTCTAGTGGCTGCTAGGTGCTCCTAGAAAAGATTTAAAGAGAAAGTGACCTTGGAGGTGGCCTGTTAGGATTCAGACATTGGAGTCTGAGATTGAGCATTTGGGGCACAAGGAATAGGAGTGAGAAGATTCAGAAGGAGGGAAGACATGAGCACATTCTGGGAATCTGGAACGTTGATTTGGCTGAGGCCAATACTATTTACAGAAGAAAAAACAATCTTTAAACATCAGCTTGGCATTGCCAAGAAGGCCTTGAATGCTAGACTTCAATCTGTGGGCAGTGGGGAGCCACTGAAGGTTTTGAGCAGGGGTGTGACATGATCAGAGCTCTGTTATGGGCATATATATCTGGTGGAGGATGAAGACTAGATTGGAAGAGGAAAAATTAACTTTGGAAAGTTCAACGGAAAAACAAAAAAAGGAAGGGAAGAAGAAATCCACTCAAGAAACATTTCCCAGGTATAAAAGATCAGAAAGGCTGCCAGATAGTAGAAGACTCAGGAAGGGAAAGCAGAGGAAAGGTTTGGGTTCCAGAACACATTAAATCCTGGTGGGCTCCGGAGCTGGTCACTTCCCCCTGGCAGTGGCTCAGAGCACTCGTCAAAAACCTGGCTAATGGGAGATTGAGAAAAGACCATGAGTGTAAAAGTGCTTGGTGACCTGTAAAGTGTGTAGGGATGTAGCTGAGGGAGTGTGAGGAGTCAAAGATATGCCTGGTGAGCTGGACAATAGTGACTGGGGGCACAGGAGGAGAAACTAGTTTGAGGGAAAGGATAGGGAGGGAAATGATGGGTAAATATACTCATTTCTTTAGTGTTGGCTTCTCTCTGTTGAGATTTAGAACTCTTGACAAGGTTCTCAAGTAGTAACACCCTGCATAACACAACTGCTTGTTTTGTGGGTTGGTACCTTAGCTCTACTCAGCCACGGGAAGTTCCCTCTGTTCAGGTTCTGGTCTGGAACAGCCCTGTGTGAATGTTGACTTGAACTGAACTAGGACATGGTCCCTAACATGGGCTGTTAACAATCTGCTTGAAGAGAAGAGAATCTTGACAGAAGCAGTTAGACAGCAAAGGAAGGCAGCACAGAGTTAAAGACTAAGAAAAGAGAAGGGGAAAGAGGCTACTGTACACAGGAAGTGTAGAGAAGTGTTCTGAAGGAGCTGGGACAAGGCATGGGTGAGATTCTGGAAACATTTATAAGGAAAAAGAACAGCCTGGGCAAAGATCTGGAAATAGGAATGTTGGCAACACATTTGAGTCATGAAGAAATAGGCTGGAGAAGTCAGTGAGGGGCAACTGGCAGAGGGCTTTCAAGCCCAGGCCAAGTGGTTCAGGACATTTAAGATTTCATGACTAGGAAGTGACATGCTACCAGATATTTTGGGAGGAAGGCTTTGGCTACTGTGGATGGATTAGTGGGGGGAAGCCCCAAAACAGGGAACCCAGCAAGGGGGCTCCTGGTGTTAAAGGTCTGAAACAGCAGTGGGAATAGGAAGGGAAACAAATTGGGAATCTTTGGAAAAAAGAATTAACAGGTCTTGATGATGTGTCACTTACTTCAGGTTTTCAACTGGAAAAATTACGTTTCTGTAAAAGCTTATAATTTTGTTTTTAATAAAAGACATTCATTAAGAAGACACATTCAGCTTAGATATAGGATGAATGAAGTAAACACAAGCTACCCTAAATAATTTAATGTGAACTATTAGTTATAACTCAGAGCAAACCGTCCTAACCACTTTCGGGCACCATCCATCCTTGTCACTATAAGCCTTGCCCTAGCCATGATGTTTTTGATCTTAAGTGTCCTGTCTCTCCCTTTTTCCTTTTCTCTCATATTCTTCCCAGCCCTTCCCTCTCCTCTCTCCAGACTCTGCCTTTGGATTCACAAGGCTCAGATTTGCTGTATGGCTATGGACAAATGAACAAGCAATTTAGCTGCTGAGTCTCAGTTTTCACATCTGAGAAATGGGAATAACATCTACTTTACAGGATTGGTTTTTGGAATAGATAAAATATAAGTGCTATGTAAACTGTACAGCGCCTTAAAAAAGTTAGCTACTGGCTTCTATCATCTCTATTCCCTTTGATTCTCTTCCTCCGCTTCCGGTCCCTGACTTGTTGCAGGGCAAGGAAATTCTTCGAATTGAAAGTTAGGGCCTCACTTTAATCGGAATGCAGATTTGCTGGTTGTTCCTGCCTTCCATGCCAAAATGAACCGGCCAGAGTCGGGAGAATGGGGCGGTTTCTCCATTTGGAGGTAATGGAGCTTGTACTCTTCTCCGTCCTTGCTGCCGGCCTGTTTTCACCTCGCACCTCAGCTTCCCGGCCTTAGAAGTGAAGTGGGTTCTTCCTCTCCCTTGACTCAACCCCCAACTCTTAGCCTCGCAAAGTTTGAGCAACGAGGACCGGAAATGTGCGCCGCAGAGGCGGCTCCCCGGCGACTCGGCGCCGGAAGTAGTAGTGGCTGGAGAGGAATTCCGCCGGCTTCGCGATGGCTGCCATTCCACCCGACTCCTGGCAGCCGCCCAACGTGCACTTGGAGACCAGGTGAGGGGTGATCGGGCCTTTGGGGCTGCGCTGGTGGAGGCGACGCAGAGCACGGGCTTTGCCGCGGGGCTGGGTTCCCGGCGCGCTCCCGGGGGGAGAGGCGTGCAGTGGCCGCCGTGCGCGTAGCCTGCAGGCTGAGTGGAGACCGCTACCGCCCGCGTGCGCCTCCGCACCGACTCGCTCTGAGGCCTAGGCGCCAGCTGCCAGTCTGCCCTCCCCCTACTCCTCCGTTCGTTCATCCATTCATTCAACAGGGATATATTGAGCCCTCAGGCCCGGGACGGAGGGTGGAATTTGAGGATGCAGAGGTCGATAAAACACAGCCTTGCCTTTAGGAGTTTACAGTAGAACAAAGGAGACAGATATGTAAATATTAACGTTGTAAGCAGTACAGTTACGTAAGCAAATTATTAGGAGAACACAGGAAGGAACATTTCCCCCACTATTAAATATCAGATGCAATATATTGAGAGCCAACCAGCTAGTGCCATGTCCAGATGTTTAGCATAGCATTAAATTTAATCCTTTTAGCAATTCAAATTATGTAGGCATTATTCCACCTTCTCTCCAATTTTAGCGGGGAAATGCCAACACTTGCAGATTAAATGGCTTAACCAAACCGACGTAGCTAGTAAGTAGGGGAACCTCACTGGAGCCAAGTAGGAGAAATAACCTGAAGTAACTTACTGCTACAACAGTATAAAATTAAAACTTAGGTCTGACATTCTCAAGATTTTTTTTTTCATCTGGCCTTTGTCTGTCTCTCTGGCTGCCTGATAGTCCCACATTAGTAGCCAGGGTCCAGCCACCCTTTCTCCTGTATCTTTCTGTTTTTGCCCAGGATGCTTTTCACAAGAGCACAGTCCTCTCAGATGCAACCTTTGCTCCCTGGCCATCTTCTCCACCTTCGCATATGGCAAAATTCTACTTTTTCAGGCCCCAGCTTGAAAGTAATTCTTGAACTCACTTGTTAACTTATTTTTTTAATTATAAAACAAATCGAAATTAAAATTCAAGCACTGTAGAAGTGTATAGAATATGAAGGGAAGCCACCACTCCCTGTAAAAACACTATTAATAGTTTGTTGGTGACCTTCCAGATCTTTTTCTATGTACACAGAAATATCTCTTATGTTCTATTTTTTAACAGAAATATGATTGATTACATGATGATACTGTGTGTGTGAGTGTATATACAATATATATTTTTTCCCTCCAATTTGCTTTTCTTTAACTCACTAAAACACTCAGTCTCCTGTACTGCGGTTATTTCATATTTCAGTCATTCTCTCCTTGCAAGACATTTAAATTGTTTCTGTTTTTTGTTACGACAAATACTGGAATGAACATTTTACACATACCATATCTGTAAGCACTTTGTTAAGTTATTCTATTGCAGAAATACTTAAAAGTTTAGACTGCTGTCAAAAGGCACATTACTTCAAAATTGTATAGGTTCTTTCTGATTGCCATTACAGAAAGTTATTCCCTGTATTTAAAAAATATCCACCAGAATATAAACTCCATGAGGGAAAAGCACCTAGAACTGTGTGTTGCACAGAGTAATTGTGTTAGTCCATGTTGAATGTTAGTAGTGTAAAATATGATCTGCTGGTAGAAAAGCTTTTGGAAGGCTATGTTCTGTGCACATACAGATTGCTAATAAGTGCACGCTTACGCTGTGCATGGCACTAGGTATTCAGACTGGAGAGAATTGACTCAATTCTCACATTCTTGGAGCTTAAAGTCCAAGTGAGTGATGGAGTGGAGGGGAAGCCACCTGTCCTAAATCTTCTACTTCTTCCTTAGCAGTACTTTTGGGGGGGAAGTGCTTATCACAATGGGTATGTATAAAGGTTTGAAGTAATCAAGTTTTGTCTTTATTGCACTCTCTCCTAAATACACACAAAAAAATGGTTGGGTTTCTCTTCAGATCGCGTAAATCTTTCGCCTTTTACTAAATACACACAAACTGTACTTTTTTTCCCCATTGAAATTTTTATGAATAGGTAATATGTTTACATGGTTTGAAAATAAAAGTTTAAAGAAGATATTCATTGAGAACCTTCCTTTTATTTACCCAGTTTCCACCCCCACTCAGAAACTTATGCATGTATAAGTAAGTAGGAAGTCCTGATAGTTTAATGTCTCCCTTTTAAAAAAAATTACATACTAAGTGTAGGATTTTTTTTCTTGATTTAGGGGTTGGTTTTATTGGTTTCTGATGATTGGTGATACTTTTATATATAAGGTGTTAGGATTTTTAGTTATCCACATTTATTTTGCTTAAAAAGAAGTACCAGAGATATCTAAGCTGGCCTGTGCATACAGTAAAACAACAAATTTGACTGAATCTGTATTGTCGGAACTCAACCAAGAATTAGGAGAAGTGCAAGTTGCAGTGTTCCAAAATCGTGCGACTATAGACTATCTACTGTTAAAAGAACACATGGGCTGTGAACAGTTCCCAGGAATGTGTTGTTTTAATTTGTCTGATTTTTCTCAAACTATTCAAATTCACTTGGACAATATCCATCATATCATTGATAAGTTTTCACAAATGCCTAGGGTACCTAACTGGTTTTCTTGGTTTCACTGTATATGGCTGGTAATTGTAGGTGTGCTTTTGTTATGTATCTGTATTCCTACTCTGTTAATGTGTGTATGCAATTTAATTAGTAGTTTGTTAAAACCTATACATGCTTATGTTACTCTACAAGAAGTTATGTCAAAGAAATAATCAATCCTCCCATGTTTTCTTCCATCTGCTACTCCTATAGCTTCTCTTCTTCCTTCCTAATTACAGCCCCTTAGTAGAATTCGTGCCTCATATCGAAAATTACCGAGTATCATAATTATTCCAAGTGGTAAAGATACCTCAAGACAAATGCTGGGCATAGAAGGCACAGGGCATAAATCTGCAAAGAAGTAAAAAGCTAACCTTTTCAAAGAATATTGCTTCTCTCTCACTTACCAACTTTACATTTCCCTGTATGGCCCCGGAAGATGGCTGGTTAGCCAGAGACGGGTAAGATTCCTCAAGGGAGGAACAACCTAAGACAGGCACAGTCGCAGGGGGACCATCAGGTGAGAAATTGGGGATCAACAGAAGTGAGGCTTAGAACCTCACCCCCCCTGTTTTGAGAGAAATCTTCTGCATCTGTGGATGTTTTGCTGCCCTTGTCTAGCTTGGATTAATACTTAGTCTATAGGCACAGACCTGATCATCTACATTTGCCCTCTTAAAACACTAAATTATGTTTTCTACCTTTATCTTGCATCTACCTACCACTTCAGCATTTTATTTAAAAAAAATAAAATAAAATAAGGGAGAAATGTGGGATTCACATATAAATCAAGTATAAAAATCAAATGAATAAATCATATCTGACTTGATTGTTTATAGTTCGTGATGTGTGATCAAAACTGAAAGTTTCTGTGGTATGACTGCCCTTCCACTGTTCACCATGTAAGAACTTATTCACCATGTAAGAACTTGTTCGCCATGTAAGAACTTGTTCATTATGCTCCAGAAGATTGGAGACTGTTGAGAATTAGGCTTGGGGTTGATTAATGATTGTGCATTGAGTTCCCTATATAGAATTTTACTGTTGTTAACAACCGTTTGATCAATAAATATGAGAGATGCCCTCTCAAAAAAAAAAAAAAGAAGTACCAGAGCCCCTGAATGTTTTATGCAAATATCTGTGTTTGTTATTCGCTCTATGTTGTTTTCCCTTGCTGAGCATGAAATGTGACATTTAGTGAAATTTCATGACTTACAGGCTTGAGAATGAAAGGTCCAGGAGCAGTCACATAAAATCTCCATCTGCTGTGACACTGTTTTCACTGGCTCTCTCCTGTCCTTCCATCTGCAGCATGGGGATCATTGTGCTGGAGCTCTACTGGAAACATGCGCCAAAGACCTGTAAGAACTTCGCTGAGTTGGCTCGTCGAGGTTATTACAATGGCACCAAATTCCACAGAATCATCAAAGACTTCATGATCCAGGGAGGGGACCCAACAGGGACAGGTACAGTTCAGCCAACATCCGTTTCTAAAGTCTCATTCTGACTTTTTACTGGGTATTAGACATCCCAGAGACGGGATTAGTTGATTTATTGACTACCCCTGCCCTCCCTAGGACACACTCTCTTCCAGACACAGAAGTGTGAACTGGAAACCAATCTTAACTCACAGTCTTTAGAGTTTCTCATAACTTCCATGTAGTACTTACTAAGAGCAAATAATATTTGCCTGAATCGTAGTAGATTCAGCATCGAGTAGTCTTATCATCAGAAGTAAAGAAGGACATTTGCAATGTTTTGAGAAAAATAAAATAATGAGTTCTTTGATTCAGTCATTCATTTCACAAATATTGAGCATTTGCTTTGTATCAGATAATTTTCTAAGCTCTAGAGAAATAGCTGGAAACAAAAAAAAATACTTTCTGTTCTCAGCGGGAAGAGGATGTGGGGATGCAATTTTAGTAGAAAGGTCAGGGAAGCCCTCTGAGATGTTATTGGGCCAGAGATCTGCATGAACTGAGGGAATTAACCTTGTGACTTGGGGAAGAACACTTCAGGTAGAGGGAATAGTAGACCCAAAGGCCATGAGGCAGGAGCTTACTTAGGAGATGGTGTAGGACCTTGTAGGGCATGGTAGAGACTTTGAGTTTTATTCTGAATAAGATAGGAGCCATTAGAGAGTTTAGTGCATAGGGGTGACATGATCTGACCTGTGTTTTAAAAAGATCACTGGCTGCTATTTGGAGAATGGATGTAGGGACAAGAGTAAGTTAGGCTACTGTAGCCATCCAGTCTAGAAACACATGGCTGGACTAAGCTGGTAGTAGAGAAGGTGGTGTGAAGTGACTGGATTCAGGATATGTTTTGATAGAAATAAAGCCATTGGGATTTGTTGAGATGGGATTGCTGGGCTGGGTGGGCATGTGAGAGGAAGAGATGGTCAAGGATGACTTAAGATTTTTGACTTGAATTTTATAAAATATGGAAGGCTGAAAGGAGCATGTTTGGAGGAGGAAGTTCAAGAATTTAGTTTTAGCTTTGGATGCATTATGTTTGAAATACTTGTCAGTTATTTCAAGTAGAGGTGTTGAATAAGTAATAGAATGTGAGTGTGGAGTTCATGGAAAGGTGTGGGATGGAGATAGGAATTTGGGAGTTACCATCTAGATGGGATTTATTAGTGAAATTGGTAGATGCTGACATTTATTAGTTTCGAGGACCCTTCCTTCTCAGTCTGCATTTTCTTTCTGCTAATTCCTGATCCTGCTTGTTTGGCTTTAAATAAGCTTGGTTCTGTGTGTGGCAGAATCTTTTCTCAATCTTGTTTTTGTTATTCTCAGCTGTCCTTTGTTTATCCTCTATGACCAAAAGCATTCCTTTTTTTTCAAATTTTGTATTTCTATATTCAAAATACAGAATATATAGAAAAGTAGGAAAAGAACAAATCCCTCATAAATATATCTCCTGAAGATTCCTTAACCACCAGTAACTGTTCCCCCAATATTTCACCTCTCAGAAATGATCAACGGCCACTGTTGGTGGCCATTTTTCTAGACATCTTTTCAGATACCTAATTAAAAGGAGGGGTGGATGAATAACTACTAAATGGAAATAATTTCAAGAGAATAGGCTATGTCATGCATGCTATTCTTAAAACAAAGTATACATTTAATCTTGTATATATTTAATAGAAAAATTGACTTCCTGTTATAAAAGATGAAGCAGTTCATATTTGGATTTCTACCCATTCCCTATTGTTTAGGGAAAACTCAGTTTTTCCTACTTCTTATCTTGGGAAAAACCCAGTTCTTCCCTCCTGTGTTTCTCCTTTGCTTTTATATACACACACTGAAGACTTTACTCCTGACACTTCTGGTCACCACATGTATGGAGGTTCCTCTTACAACAAGCAAAACTCTCTATGACACCAGCTATTTAACTCAGTTTAACTCAATTCTATACTGTATATCCAGAGGTAGTAAGTATCAGACCCCACAGGTTGAGGGCTTAGTTCCACAAGACTGCCCCCCACCCAGCATGGAGATGCCTGTCGTAACCCAGATTATCACCGGTGCTTCTGTGCAACCAGTTAATACATCAGAGGCTCCAGCAACCTTCTTGGGTTCTGTTTAAAGAACTCAGGAAAACACTTAGTGTTTACCAGTTTATTAAAGGATATGGTAAAGGATGCAGATGAACTGCAGAGATGAAGAGATTCATAGGGGGAAGTCTGGGACAGTCCCAAGTGCAGGAGCTTCTGGGGTGAGTCACCCCACCTTGTATGGATGTGTTCACCCACCTGGAAGCTCTCTGAGCTCTGTACTGTTGGGATTTTAAGGTTTCATCATGTTGGAATGATTATCATTAAAGTGGCTATTGATCATTTCTGAGAGGTTGGATATTGGGGGAATAGTTAGTGGTGGTTAGGAATCTTTAGGAAATATATTTATGAGGAATTTGTTCTTTTTCTACTTTCCTGTAATTCTGTATTTTGAAATGTGTTCATATACATTGAAAAAAAGGGAATGCCTCTGATCATAGAGGATAAACAAAGGACAACTGAGAATAACAAGAACAAGATTGTAAAAAACCCCTTTGTGGAGGATAGTGGGTAGGGCTGTAAATTCCAAGCTTCTAATCATGGCTGGTCTTGTTTCCAGCCCCATTCCAGAAGCCCTCCAGGAACCCACACAGAGTTGTCTCATTAGAACAAAAGATATGCTCCTGCTCTTATCACTTAGGAATTTTATAATCATTTTAGGAACAGCTTCATGGATGGGGTCAAAGACCAGATACCAGAACAAGAGATGTTCCTAGTGTTCTTATCACTTAGGAAATTATACGGGCTTTAAGGGCTCTGTGCCAGGAATTTTTATTTTCTACAATCTCACTCCTATTCTTCCTCTCACTCCCAATTTTTGTTGTTAGCTTTGTTTTTCCTTGTCAGAATTTACAACACTTTCCATTCTACACCCACGAGTCCCTCAGCCAGAGTATGGGTCTGCATTTTAGAGGTGCTCACCTCTAGACTTTCCTGTTCATAAGTGCTGGCAGGTGTTGTAATTGTGAACTCAATCCTGTTTGAGAATTTCTGCCTGTTGCCCTTACACTTGAAAACACCATGACTACGGGTGTACTATTTTTGGGCCATACTCGTTCCCTTGTCTTTTTAGACAATTTTACTCCATTGCCTTCTGGTTTTGAACATGGCTTTGGAGAATACTGAGGCCAGATTTGCTCCTTCCTTCAATTCAGGGAAAATTTTTCTATTTGTGTTCCTGAATATTTTGTTATACTTACTGGATTTTCTGTTTCAGGAATCTTGTTATTCTTTATTTCATTACCTTTGCTTTCCATATCTGTCATTTCTGTTGAGGGTGTGAAGTGTTTTTCTATTTTTTCCTGTGTCCAGTGAAATAATCTCAGACCTTTACTCTGACATTTTCAATCTGTTGTCATGTCTGTTATGTTCTTTACTGCTCTAATTTATTTATTAGAGCCTACTGGTGTCATTTGGCTATCAGTCTGTTTCCTTAGCTGTGAAGTTCTTTTTTATCATTAACATTTAAGTATATTTGTTTTATTACATACCCATCCCTCGTCCATCAACTCATATTATTATTTTTCCATTTTTCCATGATCATTTTCCATTTCAAATTGCAGACATCAGCAAGCTTTTCCATAAATAATTCAGAATGCCTGTTAACTAGAGTTTGACATTTTTACAGGCTTAATGGAAATTTGCTTAAAATGAAATGTAATGAGTTTAACAAATGCATACACCTATAAACACAAGCCCCTATGAAGTTAAAGAATATTAAACTTCACCCCACAAAATTAACTCATGCCCCCTTTCAGCCTATCCCCACCTATATCCCCACAAAGACAACCACTGTACTGATTTTTTTCCAATGGGTTTTGCCTTATGAACTTCATATTAACTGAGTTTAATCACCAATGGCCTGTGATTTGATCAAGCATACCTGTGTAAATACCCCAAAAGACAGGGTTTGTAGCTTAGCTGTGATATCTTTTCAACTTATTCTGTTGATTTGTTATCTTGTCTTCGAGCTAGTTCCACAAGACTGCCCCCCTTGGATTATGTCTTCTCCCAGACTGAGGTCCTGAAGTGAACACTATTCTTCCTCTTTTTCTTCCAGCCTTCCTTTCTTTCTCTCCTTCAGTTTATTGTGGAATGTTGCATAGTTTCTGTGCCTTTTCTTTTCATCTTACCATGCTTAAGGTCAGCACCTATGTTGTCTTAACCTGTTATTTGCTAAGGTATAGTGTTAATGGATTCTCTATGTCACTCTCCCAATTTGTGGGACCAATTTTCTTCTCCTTCCCAAATGCTAGGTTGCTTTCTGTTCATTTAGTTCTAGCCTGATGAGGGTGTAGGAACTAACACAAGCTGAGCTCATGCTGAGTGAGCCCCTTGTTGGAGGGCTAGCCTCTATTCTGTCCTCCCAGACGCCATCAGAGCCCTGCCCCAGGGCGATCTCCACCAGTCAGTGGTGTCCCTCTCCCCTGACCCTGGACTGTGGGTAGTCCCCTAAGTATAGCTGTATTGGAGGAAGAAGATCCTCCTACTCTTTTTTGTTCTCAGTTGGGTCTCTGTAACAAAGACAGATTAATGAGAGAAAAGCATACAATTTGTTTAATAGAAGTTTTTGTGACACTGAAGCTCTTATAAGGAAATGAAGACCTGAAGCAGTGTTTACATTTGAGTGTTTTCACACTTGGTTTTATGAATAGTGGAAAGTTGTGGGAAAATGTGATAGGACAAAAGGGGTTTGAGCTAAGTGTAGTAGACTGGAGCAAAGAGCAAGGCTGTGTGTTCAGGTTCCTCTTGGTGTCCCTCTTCTCTGGGTGTAGGGAGGGCACCTCTCTCTCGAGAACAGGAGGGTCTGATGACCTGCTTCAGAGGAAGGTCAGAAAATCCTCCCTATACCTGCCGTTTCTCAAATGCCTTCAGCTTGAAATACTCAGTATGGCAAGGAGCTAT